GGTAGGTTGTGTGGGACTAATAATGTTAGGAAAATACTGGAAGAGACCCTGGTTACTTACTCCTACCTCCCGAAGGCAGGAATGTAAACATTTCTGGTCAATTTATGTCACAGTTTTTCCTTAGGAATTGTTTTTAATGCGTCACTGTGCAGTCGGTGCAGTCCTGGCCCTTTGGGGGGGCCGTGAGGACCGGGCTCCAGGGGACCCCAGGCCTGTGTCTGCAGCGCGCAAGGCTGGGCGTGGCCTTTCCAGTTTGAGCCTCCGTCGGTGCGGTGGGCCAGTCAGCCAGCGCAGGGCAGACCTGCCCCCTGTCACTTCTCAGCTCTGCTCCACAGAAGCTGTCGTTCGTGCTTGTGACTTGGATGAATCAGGCGGAAGTAACTTTCAGCCTGGAAATGAAGTCTGAATTAAATAGGTCTTAGGAGGGTCTGTGGAAGATACGGTATCAGCAGACAAGGTGAGGTTTTGGAATCATCGGAGTCTCTGTCCGTGGGAGGCTCTGCTTTGATTATCTGGAGGTGAGCGAGGGGTAGGCCTGTTTGGGGGTGCCCTTGGGGCAGTGGGGTACGGTGGATTCCCTGGGGACACCCTCAGGGGTCCTTCTGAACAGATGTGGCTCGGGCCTGGCCTCCATCCACCGTTATGGGTCCCTAACTCTCCTTTGGAAACTGTTCCTCTCACTGGGGGCTCCTCCATACGTGGTGGTGACTCAGGTGTGGCTGTGTGTGTCGGGGCTGGGGCCAGGGGGCTGGCAGTTTGAGAGCCAGCACCGGCCACGTGAGCTCTCCCCACGCCTGGACATTTGGTCTGTGGGACTCACCCTTGTTTGTTCCCATAAAGAGCAGGATCCCATCAGAGCCGGGGGTGTGAAATGGCGGCAGATGATGGGCCCGGCTAGCCCCTCCCCTTTGTCTCTCTCAAGGGTGCGGTCACCTTCCAGAAACCTCCTTGGCTTTGATGAGGGTGCAGGCATTTGTGTCCGAGCAGGGCCCTGTCCCTGAGAGGGTGCCTTGGAGCCAGCAGGGCGGCTGTTTGGGGAGGCCGTGTGGCGTGGTGGGCACAGAGCAGAGGAGGGCCAGGGTCGGACTCCAGGGCCACCACTCGGGACACCAGGCAGGGTAGTTAACTTCCCTGGCTTTGGTTTTCTCCTCTGTGAGATAGGCAGTAATGCGTGTGTCACCGGGTTGTTGACAGAATTGGAAGAGACTGAGTGTGGAGAGCCCCCGGCCGGTGCCTGGTGGCTGCTGTCCGTTGAGGTGGCAGGACGGCAGGCGGTAGCAGGGCAGCTCCGCGGTCCAGGCTCCTGTGCGCTCGTGGGTTCCTCTGGCCGTCACTGCGGTTCTCCTTCCAGATGCACGTAGCTGTAGCCTTCCCACGCTCAGGGGAAGGTGCGTCCCTGCGGAACTCCCCGCGGGGGTGGGGGGCAGCCAGCCGCCAGGCCCCAGAGCCGTGGCCGACTCCCTGGTGGGTGCTCTCGCCCGACCTTCCCTGTCCGTGCTCTCCTGGGAGAGCCCGCGGGCGTCTGTGCGCCCGGCCCCGCGTACTGGTGCGTCTGGCCCTTCCCAGCTCCTCGTGTTTGTTCGAGCAGGGCCCCCGAGCAGGGCCCCCGGCCTCTCCTCTCCCGGTTCCCATCTTCTCTCCGAGACTCCTTGCTGGTGCCAGCTCCTCCCGGCCGGGCCAGAGTGCTCCTCGGCTGCTTCTCTGAGGCCCCCTGCTGCCCCTTTCCTCTTGGTGGCTCTTCCTCAGCCCCAGTGTGTTACCAGGACCCTCTCCTACCCC